CTCTCCCTCTACTTGGGCATTCTCTCTGTCTCAAATAAATAAATAAAATCTTAAAAAAAAAAACAAAAAAAAACTAATGATGTAATGTATGGTGATTAACATAATAAAAAAAAGTTAAGAGCTCTTTATCCTCTCCATCCTGCTGCTAGGGATGCAGATTTGATGATAAAAGCTGAAGCAGCCTCTTTAGACAGAGATGGAAGCTACAAAATGAGAATGGCAGAGCTGCGTTCTTTGTTGTGGACCTCCTACCTCTGAACTCTTATGCAAGAGAAACAAAATTCTATACTGTTTAAGCTATAGAGATTTTTTTACACCTTTTGTGATAGTTTTAGACTGCACCTTAACCAGTAAGTGTGAAATATTAGCCTGAACAGAGAAAAAATATTTGTATTATTATGTAGTTCAGTGTTTTCTTTTTGGTGGGGACAGGAGGTATTATAGCTGACTTTATGCTATAACTACAACCTATATAAGCCCCTGGGACATAAGCCGACTTCTATAAAAATGAAAAAAGTACATACTGAATTCTTATTCTTAACAATAGCTAAATCCAAACTATGTTCTTGGATCAGAAAGATTTTATTGGCTGTTTTGTTTTGTTCTATACAAGAAATTACTAGGACAACTGGTGAACTCTGAATGGGATTATGGATTAGATGGTAATAATGTAGCAATGTTTTCTTTTTTTTTTTAAGGTTTTATTTATTTATTTGAGAGAGAGAGAGAGAGAAAGCATAAGTAGTGGGGAGGGGCAGAGGGAGAAGCTGACTCCCCACTGAGCAGGAAGGCGATGCAGGGCTTGATCCTAGGATCCTGGGATCATGACATGAGCCGAAGGCAGATGCTTAACGGACTGAGCCACCCAGGTGCCCCATATCAATGTTTTCTTGATTCTAATTGGTATACTGTAGTTATTTTAAGAGAGTATTCTTGTATTTTAGGAAATATACACTGAAGAATATAGAGATAATGGGACATCACATCTACAACCTTTTGCCAAATGATTCAGAAAAAAGTATTAACATGAGAGACAGAGAGAAGGGAGCAAGAAAGAGAAAAAGGGAGGAAGAGAGAGAGAAGGCAATGTGGTAAACTGTTAAGAAATGAGGAATCAAGGTGAAGGATATATGACTTTTTTGTACAACTCTCGTAACTTTTCTGTAAATTTGAAATTATTTCAAAATAAGACATTTTAAAAAGTCATGTTTGAAAAGATGGTGTGATCCACTTGGAAATTCATGAAAAAAAAGACCAAAAAAACCTGTAAATCAAAAAGATCTTCACTATGTACAAAATACAAAGGTATCATAGTAGAAGAAAGAAAAATAAACAAGGTGATGCTGACCTGATTTCCAGGACAAGTTCTGCCACTAGTAAGTTTAAAAAAGTTGACTAAACTCTCTGAAATAAGGCATTTAATTAAATGGTTCCTTTCCAGCCTTAAAATTCCGCAATTCTCAATTACTTCCAATGCTCACCTTCTTATATTCCATACATTTTCAAAAAGATATGTTTCATAATATTTATTTTTGTTAAATTCCGATACTGAAGTTCATACTGTTTTTCAATAAACTGAATAATCAATCTTACTGAAACCATTAAGAAGAGGACTCAAAGTCCTGTAAAGTTGGCAGCAGTCACCATACTCACATAATATCCACACCTCCTGGAGTAGCAGATGATGATGTCTGCTCTTTGCTGGATGAAGAATCAGTAGTACATTCTGGTTCGGATACCGAATCACTGCTGCAGGGCTCGCTATTTGGAGATGCATTTCTTTGAGAGGTAGTGTCAATTGCTATAGGTGTTAATTCACTCTCATTGAATGCATCACTTATAAACATGCCTTCATGGATTAAATAAGCCACCTCTGTGTCCAGTGAATTGTCTTTTGTAGCATTCTTCTGTTGTGAAATCTCTTCCAATTCTCTGGTCCTTCGGTTTTTGTCAAGAACTGAGAGAACAACACTGTGAATGATATTTAACGTTGCCTATAAGAAAACAGGATACATTTTTAAACGACTTAAAATAACATGTACCTAAAACTCCCAAAAGTGAATTTTGCATATGTACTTTTGAACATCTTATAAATGAGTGCCAAAGTCACGCGTATCAGAATTTCTACCAATCGTTGGGGCACCTGGGTGGCTCAGTCAGTTAAGCGTCTGCCTTCAACTCTGGTCATGACCTCGGGGTCCTGGGATGGAGCCTTGTGTCGGGCTCCCTACTCAGTGGGGAGCCTGCTTCTCCCTCTCCCTCTGCTGCTCCCCTTGCTTGTGCTCTGTCAAATAAATAAATCTTAAAAAAAAAAAAATTTCTACCAATCTTTTATCACACAGTAAAGATGACTTGTGAAAAAGAACTACTCAAGAGAAATGGGTTCCCTAAAGCTTAGGAATAGTGTTCTGTATTTTAATTGATTTTGTAAGTGGAAATCTCCCTAAAATATATATATTAAGTACCTTAAATAGCTTACACTAAACAAAACATAACTTGCCTATCACATATCTGGTAAGGGGTTAAACAGCCAGAATATATATATATAATTATATATATATAATAATATATAAAGAACTCCTATAACTCAACAAAAAAAATCTGATTAAAAAATGGACAAAAAAAATATTTCTCCAAAGAAGACACACAAATGGCCGATAAGCACATGAGAAGATGCTCAACATCACTGATCATTAAAAAATGCAAATCAAAACTAAAATGAGATACCACCTCACACCCATTAGGATGGATACTATAAAAAAAAGAAAAAAATACAAGTGTTAGTATATGGAGAAATTGGAACCCTTGTATACTGGTAAATACAAACTTCAAATAGTTTTGTTCTTGTAACGTGGTAAACACTAGTAAAAAACAAAACAACTTTTCTCTCTCTTTTTTAAAGATTTAAAGATTTATTTATTTGAGAGAGAGAGAGAAAGAGAGCATGTATGTGTCTATGTGTGAGGGAGGGACAGAGTAAGAGGGAAAGAGAATCCCAAGCGGACTCCACACTGAATGTGGAACCTGATGCTGGGCTCAATCCCACAACCCCGGTATCATGACCTGAGCCAAAACCAAGAGTCAGACACTCAACCAACTGCACCACCCAGGAGCCCCCAAAACAACCTTTTCTGATTACAAAAGTTATACATCTCTTGGTGGAAAACTTAGGAAAAACAAACAAAAAAAGAATAATAAATTTAAATTATACTAGCAAAGGATAACTATCAAAAAGACAAACTATCTCTTTATTCTACAAAGATGAAGAGGTAATAAATCTTTTTAACATAGCTGAGATCATACTATATAAATAGGTCTATATTTTGCCTTTTCACTTAATGTTATAATGTATGCATTTTCCTCAACATTAAAAATCCTCGGCTACATGATATTCCATGGCAATGAATATACCAGGCATAATTTACTTTACCATTCCTCCACTGTTAGACATCTGGGTTCTTTCCAATTTGCAGTTATTTAAAAATTCTCAATTAAAAATGAACAGCTTGTAATTAACACTATTTTCTCAGCGAAATCATATCCTTACAGAATCACAAACATTTTTCAAAGAAAAAAGTACCATATTTATAGGTTATATATCATCGTCAAAGATGTTTTACAGAAGTATTAGCTTAAGGGGTCTAAATATGAAAATGAGAAATTAAAACTATGGTAAGTCACTGTTCCCATACTGCACACACATCAAATAAAATTTTGGCTTAATTTAACTGATACAGAACCTAAAAGTGAAATAGCTATAAAAAAAAGATTACTGAAAAAGATATGGAAGCAACCCAAGTGTCCATCCATAAATGAATGGGATAAAGCAGATGTGACACACACACACACACACACACACACACACACACACACACACAATGGAATATTACTCAACCATAAAAAAGAGTGAAATCTTCCCATTTGCAATAACATGGATAAATCTAGAGGGCATAATGCTAGGTGAAGTCAGTCAGAGAAAAACAAATACCATATGATTTCACTCATAGGTGGAATATAAAAAACAAAACAAAGAAAAAAAGAGCCAAAAACCAAACTCTTAAATATAGAGAACTGGTGGCTGCCAGTGGGAAGATGGGGAGGGGAATGGGTGAAATAGGTGAAGGGAATTAAGAGTACACTTATTGTGGTGAGCACTGATTAATGTACAGAATTGTTGAATCATTATAATGTACACCTGAAACTAATGTAACACTGTATGTTAATTATATTTAAATTTAAAAAAATTACTGGCAAAAAGCTGGCCAATTCTACAATTTGCAGTGTAAGAGTTTGACATACATCACGGACATGCAATAATAGAACTGTGTGTGATGAAGTCATGGTGGGAATACAGGAAAACGTGAAAACATGGCCTAGTTATTGAGCAATCCACGGATACAGGTTTGCTATCTATTGCTATCGATGCATGGGATCAACATTTTGGTAGAAGTCTAAATTAAGTACAGTGAATCAAGTGTTTAAAAATTTTTCCCACTCAGAAAGGTTATACACATGACTTAGCATCACTCCAATGTTGATAAGGAAAAGTCATGTCACAGATAATTACCAAAGTCCTCCAGACCATTTAACAGGATACTCAGGAGATGCCAGGAATGTTACCTAGCACATGTAACACAATACTGACATCTGATAATTCAAAGAATGTCAACTTTCACAAACAGCCTGTTAGACTCAGTAATTCCTAATGACTATCTTATTAAAAACACAGTTATGACATGTTGGTAATTCTAGCCAAAATGTATTAGTCTATGACATCTTTTCTTCTGAAAAATGCTGTGTGGCATGTGTTCTTTTCCTTATACCGAGTGGCTTAAAATTGAGTGATTTGACTAAAGAGAATAATTAAATGTAATGCATAATCCTTGATTGACTCCCAGATTAAAAAGTGAAATAAAAACCTATAATGAAAGACATTAGTAGAGCCATTTAAACATGCACTATAGGTTAAAAAATACCATTATATCAACATCAAATATTTCTAGAAAAAATAAGTGGTTTGGAAGATTTTTTTATTATTATTATTAACATATAATGTATTATTTGTTTCAGGGGTACAGGTCTGTGATTCATCAGTCTTACACAAGGTTTGGAAGATTTTTGTGTGTTTCACAATATTGTACCTCTAGATAATCCAGAGAGATTCAAGAATCACAAAATCACAAGAGGAAACATTACTGTATAATATTTAATGCCAAGTAAGCATTATATTTTTAATATAAAATAAATCATCCAAAATTACAGAGTATCAAATACTCTGAAGCACTTCAAATCTTATGTGAAACCAAGCCTCTTCAGAAAAATTACAAAACAAAGACTTGTTTTTTTTCTAACTTGATTCTGTATGTATATTATATATCTAGAAAGTAGACTTACTTTTTGGGATATCCTGGACAAACTGATAATCACATAGGCTTACCTTAACTCTTTGTAGGAAAATTGTAAACTTAGAGAAAATATCCTTTAGCAGATCAAACCACTGAGGAAAATTCAACATTCTCATCTGATCTGCAAGCCTAGAAAAAAACAATTCAAACAAATATAATGACTATCTTTGGGCAGCTAGGAATTTACTCTCAAAAGATAATTCTATACTTGAGATACAGGAATTTCTCTATTTAAGTTGAGAAAATTTCATAGAGAAGAAAATTAAAAATAACTGACAATGTCCATAGGCCTTTTAACACAATCCCAGTAACTTAATTTTTCCAACTACTAGTGACTCCTGCACTGCTACAGTTGCTTTAATTAATTCTGAAATGGAATTTTCACTAAGTAATAGTGCGGAAATTAAAACTCCTCAATCCTTATTCCAGGAGTTTGGCCCAGAGAAGTTTCAGAGTTATCCATATTGCTATTCGTATCTTGGGCCAGTTAATAAAGTTTAGGTACCTATATGAAATAAAATTCATAGTTACAAAATATCATTATTCTCAAAATGAAAGAATAGGAATTTCAAGGGTGAAAACAAAAAATTATAGATAGGCATGAGGCAATTCAAAATCATGTATTCAAATTTCTCAAAGCCAATTAGAAGCTGGGTTTTAATTATATAGCTAAATAATTTAAACTTAACACTGCTATTCCTCTGAGATGGATTATCTTCAATTTCCCTCCTCCGTATCTACAATGTATCCTCTCCATCCCCTCTCTGTCTGGGAAGCTGACCTGCTGGGGTTGGCCAATGAGAAGCCCTTACAGAAGACTGGAAGGAGCAAAGGTACCGATAGCTCCATCTCCCTCCCTGAGAGGCTGTCTCAGGACAATTGCCTCCCGCACTGAAGATCACTCCAACTACTATAGCTCTTCCCGCCCCACCCCCCCAAATACTAAGTGTCCTCCTTCTGAATCCTATTAACTGTTCTCATCCCTGTCCCTTAAAGGTCCTGCACTGTCACTTGTGATTTTCTTACACTCTGTTCAAACCTTAGTAAATAATTCCTTAACTAAATCCTCCTTAGATTATTCTAATGTGTCATCTTTTCCCTGACTGATAACCCCAACCTAATATTTATACTTACTTCACAACAACATCTGTGTCAATTTCTTCTATTTGTGAAACTTTATTAATCACACACTGCAAAATTTAAGAAAAAAAATGTCTTTAGAATTCTAAGTACTAAATGGCTCATTTCTATACTAAAAATGACCTCAATGAAAAAAAAATGACCTCAATGACTATGAGCATCATTTTATCAGACTTCTCTTGTATCTCTTATATACACCTCAAGGTATATGAAAAACTGTATATCCTTACCCTATTAAATAATTATTCCAGGGTATGCTTGAACTGTATTAACTAAAATCCCCTACTATTTAAAATTATTCAAAACCATACACCAAACAAACAAAACAACACCCAGAACTATAATTCTTAGGAACAAGGTATAAGCCACATATTAAAATTCCAAAAGAAATTCATTTGGGGGGTTATGTTTTCTTGCAATATACGCAACAGTTTAAGTTTTAAAAAATGCTTAGACTTCAGGAGAATCCTAGGAATTACAACAGCAGTTTTTAAAAAATTTGTTTAGAAGTACTACATACAGAAAATTATACAAATTATGTTCATAGCTCAGTAATTTTTTATAAAGGATTATAGTTGTATAATGAGAACGCAGATCATGAAATTGAACACTGCCAGTAAGCACCTCTCGTGCTCCCCTCCTAGTCACTACTTCCTCCCAAAAGATACTACTACTTTGATTTCTAATACCACAGATTAGTTCTATGTTTGAATTTTACAGAAGTGTAATCATACAGTGTATACCCCTTTGTGTCTGGTTTCTTTGGCTCTATATTATATATGTGATATTCATCCATGTTGCTTGATGTGATTTATTCATTCTCATTATTGTATAGTATTCAGTCATATAAATATACCAAAACTCTATTATCTTTTCTACTGATGACATAATTTGGGTTTAAAAAAAAAAAAAAGAATTTGGGTTTTTCCAGTTTTTTATTACCAATAGTGCTGCCATGAAATTTTGTGCAGTCTTTGGTGAACTTATGTATGCATTTCTGTTGGGTAAATACCTAGGAGCAGAACTGCTGAGTCATAATATATGCATATATTTAGTGCTAGTAGCTACTGTCACCAATTTTTGCAAGTTGTTGTAACAATTTTGAAACACAATGTTTTAGTGTTTGAAAGAGGTAAATGATGGGGTAATTATCATCTTTTTTTTTGCTTGCTTTATTTAAACATTAAAAGCTCAGAAATGGGGGCGCCTGGGTGGCTCAGTCATTAATTGTCTGCCTTTGGCTTAGGTCATGATCCCAGGGTCCTGGGATTGAGCCCCACATCGGGCTCCCTGCTCGGCAGGAAACCTGCTTCTCCCTCTCCCACTCCCCCTGCTTGTGTTCCCTCTCTCGCTGTGTCTCTGTCAAATAAATAAATAAAATCTTAAAAAAAAAAAGCTCAGAAATGTACATTCAACCTAATGATGATGATTAATTAAGCCTAATATATTTAAAATTGTTCTTTTTCATATTTAGAAAACCTGAAGTTTTGTTAATGATACATATCTGAGTAAAAATGCAAAATAAAGATGAGGAAAGACTGAAAAAACAGATTTTGGTGTACAATTATCATTTCTGAGAGAGAAGGATAAGAGGAAATAAGCGTTTAACTACTGCTGGCGAGGGTGTATTTGGTAAAATCTTTTTAGAAAGCAATTCAGTTCTGTCAAATAATTTAAAAACACTTTTCACTCTCTGACCAATAATTCCACTTCTAGGAATTAGCTATAAGAAAATAGTCTTAATTATGGAAAAACCCAACAAAACTTTATACCAAAGATGTCATAGTGTTCTACAATACCAAACTGAAAACAGCCTAAATATTCAACAGAGAGGAAGGCATAATATAATGTTGATGGAATTTTACACAACCATCAAAAATGATGTTTCTGAAGGGCTTATATGAGAAAATGCTTATCTTATGATTCTAACTGAAATACATGTACAATTCAAAATCATATATAGTATGATATCAACAATGAAAAACAGTAACAATTTACACTTAGAAATATTCTTAAAGTGATAATCTTTTGGCTGGTAAGACTATTTTTTCTCCTATATTTCCATATTTTGAGTTTTTAAATAAATGAGAAAATGTTACTATTATAACTGCATATATTATCACTAGGATCATGTAAAAATGAACTTAATAAAAAGATTCTAGACCAAAATATATTAAATAAAAACATACAATTACCTGTTTAATGATATTCTTTGCTGTAATAATCATTTCTTCACTATAGATTTCTAAAAAATTAAGTTTTCTTTGTTTTAAAAGTCCAAATACAAGAGATACAAGTCTTTCCTATTAAAATAAAAACATGGAATTTCACAATTTAAATATAAAATAATCTCACTCAGAAGTAGAAATATTGAACATCATGGCTTTTATTATTTGATCCTCAGACTGCTATCCTACATATGGTATTTTCTAGAAGCCTTAAAAAAAAAAACCCTTTCACAGTAATCTTGTCATCAGATTACTGGAGTCACTGTTTTAAGACAGGTCAATCCTAATGTACTATAGTGAATCAAATGAAGCTGGTTTGGGGGCAAAACAATTAAGTACATTTGGCCTAGTTTTAACAAGTTAGAAAGTATCCTTCTCAAACCCTGATGACCTATAAATACTCGATGAGCCCTGTGCTTTTTAAGTTAGTGTGTCAAGAAGACTGAAATGATGACCTAGACTATTTGTGGAGGATTATCTACTAACACATACAAAAATCTCTTTACTTAGGCTGTTATCAGGGTTTCTGGATTCTTTACTAGTTCTTGGCAATAATCAGCATTAAAAAGTTAGCAGATAAGGGAAGCCTGGATATGATGTATTTGTATATGCATATGCATAAAAATGTTCATAACAGGGGCTCAGTGACTGTAAATGACTGATAAATTATTATATTGATCACTTTTATAAAAGACATACTCTAATACATACACATGGATATATGTTAATTCATCCTTTATCTATATTTTAAACTTGGTTTGTAAGTTATATAAGACCTCACTTTAAATCCAATTTCTAATTAAGGTATAAAATTATTCTCTAACTTCACATGATAATGAACAATTATGGGGCTTGCTAAAGTCACATAGTTAGTGAAGGACTTCATAAGAGTGTGATTGAGTTTGAAACTTTAAGATAATTTTGCTGACTATAATCTGAGAAGAAAGAATGTGTTCTAAACTAAGACTGTTAGGAATTAACACTAAGCAATGACATCAATTTCATCCACAGTTCAAAGCACATACCTCTTCTAAAATTTGACAATCGTCTTCCAGTGGTCTGTTTAAGTCACTGTGAGAATAAGTAGAAAATTCTGCAATCATCATTTTATCTATCAGTTTTTCTAATTCACAAAGTTGTGATCCCAAATGCCTACAAAGGAAGAGGAAAATGTCACATATATTCATTAAAAACCCAATTTGCTCCACAATCAAGAAAACTAGTTGGCAAAACTTTTCTAGCTGACAGTATTTGTGCAATAATGTGATATTTGAGTAAAATGGAATCTGTTAACTTAACAAAAATAACTGTGATAGTTTCATATCATCTGTCAAATTCTTTTTTTCTTTACATGTTTAACCTCCAAACACTTAAATGTATTGTAGAAAACATGGTTTAGGAATTTCATGACTGCTTTTTTTGTCTGCTTTTCACAGACAAACTATTCAGATATTCTAAGTCTTCCTAATTAACCATTTACTGAATAGCAATGTCAGCAGCTCCCCAGCCATTCATTTATACCACAAATACAAGTGCCTACTATGGCCCTATCGGGGAGGATATAAATACCTGAAGGACTACAGGGACAGACTGACTCAATTCAATCTCTGTTATGAACTCAGAGTTAATGTGCAATTTCCCTCAGGTCATTATACTGAAAGTCAATAAAACACAAGATTGAAAATATAAAAATACTAAGCAACAGTCTATCCTTAGAACTTTTTCTCATAAAATATAATGTTCCTTTTTAATCTACTTCTAATATTTATAGATCCTACACAGGATTGGAGAAGGACTCTAATCAGATGGGCAAAGCTGTGTGGGTGGTTAAGGCAATATAGTTTACTAACGGGATTTGGAACAACTTCCCTAGAGAAAGCATGCAGTATCCAAATGACAAGAATGATCCCATGCAGTCCCTGCTCAGGAGAGCCCTAAGGATCACCGACCTTCATATATGAAGGGATCTTTACCATACAATCTAACAGCTTCATAAAAACAATGGGTAATCTAGTTGGTCCAAAGTATTTCAAAAATTAAGTGAAATAGGCCAATGAGAAATCTGTTTATATATTATAAAAAATTTTTATTTTATTTTTTATTTATTTATCCGACAGGTAGAGAGAGAGCACAAGTAGGCAGAGCAGCAGGCAGAGAGAGATGGAGAAGCAGACTCCCTGCTGAGCAGGGAGCCCAATACAGGGCTCGATCCCAGGACCCCAGGACCATGACCTGAGCCGAAGGCAGACACTTAACCGACTGAGCCACCCAGGCGCCCCTAAATATTATAAAAAAATTTTTAAAGCTCTATTTTGGTGCAATTTCAAAACATGTATATTTAAATGTCTAAATTTCAATTTTATCTTAAATTTAGACATTACTGATAAAAAGCATTTAAAATATATATATATGCCATTTACTTGAACAACTAATGTCAGAAACTGTCTTTAGTAAGACCAGATACAGCACATTTTTAAAGACTAAAATCATGTGACCTTTTAGACAGAGCCATTGTTCTTATATAAACAGCATATTTAGTAAGCAGTTTAGTGATAATTTTGAAAAACATCTGATAAGTGAAATAACATATAAACTTGCATTTTGCAATATGAAAACTGTATTTCTTATAGCTAATTAGAAGACTAATAAAATTCTCATAAATGGCACCAACATCTCACAATAAACTAATTTCGAACATACTAGTACAAACTAAAACATTGCCGTAAGGGAAATTTAGCAGGGTCTAGCAAAATTACATAGGCAATTAACCTTTGACCTAGGAATCTCACTTCTTGATATCTGTCTCAAAGATACACTCAAAAATACAAAAAGAACATACATTCATTGCAGCACTGTTCATAATTGCAAAGGAACAGAAACCACACAAATGTTGACCAATGGGAGCTAGCTGACTATATTATAACAGACACTATACACTTTTAAAAGAATTGAGGAATACCAATGAATATACTATATACTGCTAAGCAGCAGTTTCTCAATCTTTTTTTTTCACTGTTGCCCCAAGTCCTTTTAGACATTTTTATTCCTAATCACCCCACACATATACTTAATATCACAAACATAGTGTATATCTGTTTATGTACCTTGGCCTTTTGGAGGGCCACAAGCCACTATAACATCCGATTTTTTTTCACCCTTCAAGAACCAATTCTTGTCCTATTGAGGCTATATATCTATAGCCTCAATGGAGGCTATCACCTATCTTAGGTTGACAGCCCCCACTGAGAAGGCAGACTGTAGAGTGATCTCCAGGGTATACTGTAAAGGTGAAAACAGCAAGGCAGAGAAAAGTAATACAGTATACTAATGCTTATCTAAGATGAGGGACAGAGAGAGAGATGGCTGGATGGATGACGGGTAAATATAAATTAAAACTTTTTAAAATGGTGACTTATAGGGTAGGTAGGAAGGAAGGAACCAGAGAGAAGTTAAATTTCTTTGAATATCCTTTGTTTCAGAGATTTGACTTTGGAACCACTCAACTACTTAACATAGTTATAGCACAACATTATATTTAAAAACTTCAACCCTTAAATATCAAAAGTAGATGAAACAAATGAACTTAACTGCACATCAAGTTAGCATCAAATGTATACAAAGAGGAATTATTTCAAGTAACTTTAAAACATAGAAATTTATCCATTTATCCCACAAGGCTATAGCTTGAGGAAAAGAAGAGAAAGAAATCCTCCATGTTTGCAGCAATAATACGTTAGTTCTGAGAGCACTCTATGTATCCTGTGGGATACGGCAAATGAGTAATTATGTTAGGGTCATTAGGAGCCATGGTTTTCAGCCTGTATACATATATAAGATTAAAGTAAAAACTTTATGGTCCTGAATTTAAATTGGAAATATCAATACAAACTCATAGTTTTTCTTTAAAAAGGAAAACCTATTTTCTAGCTCTGTCCACTACAAAGGCCTAGAGATAATGACCAATCTAATAGCAAGGAACACCTTTGGTACCCAGACTGTAATTTCTAAATACCATTTCCTACTAAAAGAAACTACTGCTCCTTAGAAAAATGGTGGATTACAAGTCTGAGACAGAAAATGTATAATATGAACATCTAATCATAACACAAAGTAAGAAAACTATCAATCAAAAGCTCCTGGAATCACGTAAAATGCCACAAAAATGAACTTGAGGAGGTTCCTACAAAAGACATAACAATCTGAATGTCAACAAAAATAAAAACAGCAAAAAACTTAAATACTTCCAATATATGTAAATTCATGTGTTTATAAAAATGTATTTTTTCAAAATCATCAGTTACCTTTGGAACATGCTAAATTTTCAATTCGTTACTTTTAAAACTGCTAAATTAAAAAAAAGGAATCTAGATTTTATCCTGCCTCTCCTTGTAAGAACTGTCCTTAAGTGTTACCAAATTGTTATGGAGAAATATCACTTTACAGAACTATTCCAATTAATAAATAAGGAAGTATAGAATTAGAATATTGTTATTACATGTAACCCATAATGAGATGATAAATCTAGGCAATGACCATCAAATGGCTGCTAATATCATAAAAAGAGAGACAACCAGATATATACCTCTTTTTTTGGGGGGGGGGATTTAGAATCTGATCCCTTACTTAAATATAAATGCCTTAGTGAAATGTTACAATAATATCATCTCTTTTGCTGAGATAAAATAAGTATTTGTATTTTTTATTAGTTTCAGAGGTAGAATTTAGTGATTCATCAGTTGCATATAATACCCTCTGCTCATTATATCAAGTGTCCTCCTTAAGCCCATCACCCACCTAACACTGCCTATCCCCTCCCCTAGATATATGCCTTTTGGCTGAAATACACACCACTACCTATTAGGTGCTCCTGCCAAAAAGTAAACCTTAAATCTAATCAAGCCTTTAAGTCTAACTACCAGTTTATAGAAAATATAGGCAAAAGAAAAACATGCTAAACCTGGGGATGCAGCCGGCAAAATCCAGACTGTGAAAAGCTTTATAAGATAAATACCTCAATTTCTTCAGTAAATATCTTGAAAGGGAGAAAATGAGAAGAATGGGGAAGTATATATCAAAAGGTATTGATATATATCAACCAAAAAAAAAAAAGAAAGAAATGTATCAACCAATCACAATGTATAGAATTATTTGGATCCTGATTTCAATAAACACATTATAAAAAATAAATCTGAGACAAGAAAATTTGAATGACTAGCTTTTTGAAAATATGAATATTATGTTGTAAAATATTTTTATCTTTCCAAGATACATAATGAAATATTTGCTAATGAAGTAGAATGATGTTTTGGATTTGTTTCAAAATAAACTAGGAGTACGGAGGATAGAAAAGACAAAGTTGGCTGTGAGTTGATAACTCACAGGTGATACACGATTTACCCAGCTTCATACAACTCTCTTCATATAATTTCCTATTTCTGTGTATGTTTGAATTTTCAATAAGTTTTTTAAAAAGCAGCAAGAGTAAGACATAAATCTACACATTACTTTAATGGTTCTCAATTGATTATTATGAAGATCATAGATTCCTTTTCAACACAGACTAAAGGTTAACACTCAGGTATATGTCACCTTCAGGTATGAATAGTCTTCAACAAATCCCAACAAAGAATTATGGTGAGAATCTAGATGACAATATCTACTGATGTTTGGGCATCAGAATAATAAAACTGTCATTTTGGCATAACTTAAATGTGAGGTTCTATATGACTCAGATACTACATTAAATAACTCAGTAGCTTCATTTTACGTATTCTTAAATTAATTTTAAAGTCCAATAAATACAATAAAAAAGAACAGATATAAATCTCAATACTAACACCAAATAGTATTTATTATGTAATCACAGGTATATGATAATATATAAAGATTTGTCTAAACAAATCCTTAAACAAAATTCCCAGAATTATAATGTTCTACAAGAGTCACCTATTTATCTTTACTCTATTTTTTTACATTCTTGATGACTTTTGACAATAGATGCAATAATGGCCTGCACATTATTAACCACATCAAAAATATTTAATAGATAAATGTGCTAACAGTTTAAAATTATGTATACTAATAATCACATACTGTAATTTAGAATGATAAATCTACTGAAACAACAAGTAACGAAAATACCACATTCTGAAAAAAGTATTTAGGTTCATTTATCTAGCTAAATAAGCTGGAACAATTCCAATACTTTCTACTCTGATATGTCTCAGTGTGTACATTAATTCAGACCTTCTAGTAAGTTGTATGTTCACTACAACGACTGTTGTGCTGCTTTTATCAGAGAAACTTATATATCAGTCAACTGTACTGTAATACTAGTTTCATCAAATAGCAGCACATCGGCTTTTTGACTTTATCCCAGAGCATACAATGCGGATGTCTTCTTACTATATTGTTCTGAAGATCTAAATTATGGGAGATTATATCAGGATCAAAGATTATGTTACTTTTTTATAACTTCCAATAATAAAAATCCCTTAAGTGGAATCCCAAGGTGACCTCTGATGAACGAAATCATAATAAGCTGGAACTTATAATTAACTCTGTTTTCCACCTTTTCTCCCCCCAACCCCAGAAAAAAAGAAAAAAAAGTCTTATGACTAGAAAACAAACTAGTTTCATTAATTGTTATCAATTACTATGGTAGGTCCTGGCTCAGTGAACCTATAACTCAACTGCCAACTTATAACCCGATTGCCCAGGATTTAACATCTACTGCACTATAAAATCAGCACTGATGTTCAGAGTGATTTTTTTGAGGTCCTATAAATCCTCAAGCAAATATATTAAAAAGCATACATAGCTCTCAGGTCAGATGAGACCTGGATTGAATCTCAACTCTGTTTTATAACTTGCTGTATGACCTGGAGCAAGTTATCTAATAAGACTTTCTATGCTTCAGTTTCCTTATCTATTAAAATGAGGATAAGATTACTTATCTTATAGAGGTTTTTTGGGGGGTGGAGGGGGCCAAATAACATATGTAACATACTTTGCACAGTACCTGGTACCGAGCACCATTCAAAAGGTGCTCTTAGGTTTTATAGTGGTGGTGGTTACAGAATAATGGTGGTAGTAAGTAGTAAGGGAAAAAAAAGTTAACAACAATGAAAACTGAAAGTTTCTACATAAACCTTTACAATAAGAAAGAGCAAATAACACTATATCCCTGAATTTCAAAGTAACTGAAGATTTTCTATTTCAAAATCTGCAAGATACCAAGGTTCAGATATTTGTTAGGCCCACAGTGAGACTTCTGTATTACATCTGCACTTGAATGTCCTTACCTCAGCATCACAATTAAGATAGTGTGTATTGTAGGACTCTTGCCTACTTATCAGCATTAGTGATGTAAACTGTGTTCTTAGTTTATTAAAATGATTATGCCCAATGCAGGGCTCGATCCCAGGACCCCACTGGGATCATGACCTGAGCTGAAGGCAGACATTTAACTGACTGAGCCACCCAGGTGCCACCAATCTTTGATTTATTTCTCAGGGTTATCCTATTCAGAGGATAAAAGCACTCTATAGAATCAGCTCCCAATATTTATCAACATTCATAATATTAGTGAAATCAAGTGAAAGACAACTTCTGTCATTACAGAAGTCAATTTTTCTAAAGTAGTGACAAAATTAGTGTTTATTTTAAAAATATATTCCAGGGTCCCTGGGTGGCTCAGTCAGTTAAGCATCAGATTCTTGGTTTCAGCTCAGGTCATGATCTCAGCCTCGTGAGACTGAGCCCCATGTAGGGCTCTGCACTCGGCACAGAGTCTCTTTGTCCCTCTACTTCCCCCTTCTGCATCACCCCACTCTCTTTCTCTAATAAATAAATAAAATCTTTAAAAAAATAAAAATAACCTGGGTGGTTCAGTCAGTTAAGCATCTGCCTTCAGCTCAGGTCATGATCCCAGGGTCCTGCATCAGGCTCCCTGCTTAGCAGGGAGTCTGCTTCTCTCTCTCTGCCCCTCTCCCCCCACCCCTGCTTGTGTGCTCTCTCAAATAAAATCTTTTTAAAAAATTAAAAATTAAAAAAATAAAAATATATTCCATTCATTCAAAAAACAGAAATATTTAAAATTTCAGAGGTAAAAGGGAAACTAAAAATCATTTTGTCCATGCTAGGAAACCAAAGTAGGCTTCAAAGAACTATGATCCACCCAAAATTAATTGTAAAATTTTAGGTACAGGTATATTTTTATGGAAAGACGATCTAATCAACAGCTTTCAATGGATTCTCAAAGAGGCTTGTGACTCAAACTTTTTCTGTAGACATCCAAATCTAGATTAGGTTCCTCCCCTAAGGTTAGAGCTCCATAATAATCTGTACATTCATCATCATACAGTATTGCACTGTATGATGACAACACAGTCATTTCTGTCTCCTTCCTTCTGCCAAATAAATTGTAAAAACAGAGTAGAGAGCATCTCTGCTTTGTTCATGACCATATTCCCAGTAATCTGCCTGGTGTCTGATATGTAAAGGTGATCAATAACCATTTCTTGAATGAATCAATCAATCATTTATGTCATTAAATTTGGGCCACCTTTTAAAAAATGCATTCTAAATAAATATTCCAATTACCTATCCTTAGTCAACAAGAATTTATAATTCAGTTAAATTTATTTTGAAGCTAACTTTTCCAGAATGTATTAAATATCTATAAGTTACAGAACACATCTTCCATACAACTTCTTTATTGTCACTTAGTAGTATAAGGTTTGGATGGGTTTTCCAGGAGAGGGACTTCTACAAGGATATTGCAAGCCTGCTTAACTGAATGAAATTTTGATGGCCTGTACCTGGTTTATCTATAAATTAAACATTTTGACATGCTCTCACATAAAATAACTAAAACCCAGGGGCATGTGGGTGGCTCAGTTGTTAAGCGTCTGCCTTTGGCTCAGGTCAGGATCCCAGGGTCCTGGGATCGAGCCCTGCACTGGGCTCCCTGCTCGGTGGGAAGCCTGCTTCTCCCTCTCCCACTCCCCCTGCTTGTGTTCCCTCTTTCGCTCTCTCTGTGTCAAATAAAAAAAATAAAAAATAACTAAAATGCTAATGTTAAAAATATTTTCAAAATAAGAACGTAGGAAAAATTGGGTGTTTTCCATCACCAAATGGAATTTTTTGCAATGTGATAAACACTGCACATGAGAATTTTAATAATTATCGAATAATGATTGTTATATACAAATATAATAATTACACTATTAAATAATTATTTAATAATTATTAAATTTAAAACCTATCAAGAACTTTTAAAATGAACTTAATTTTAGATATACTGGTATTCCTTCCTGCACCTTGATCTATTAACTTGACACAAAACTATTTCAACATTTTGGAAATGTTATTTTCAAAGTTGTGACTGGCCTTTCATTAGTACCATCTACCAGAAAATTTAATTTTGTTTCTCCATTCAAATGTTTCTGTAAATACTGGTCCTTACAGTTTTTGTATTGCTAAGACTAAAATATCACAATGATAACATTACTAAACAGATCAGTCTGTAAGAAAAAATATTCATGTAACTTACATACATTCACACTTCCCCAGCTAACATTATACACTAAAATTTATTCTTTAAAAACTTCTAACATTATTTCTAAAAGCTTACTTAAAGGACATACCGGAAGCTGTGAATGCCCTGAAGTTCCTGCTGTAGAACCTCTTGTGTTGTTGCTATTAAGTCCAATGCTCCAACAAATTCAGAAGTGGATAACAACACCTGTACTGTAGGCTGAGTCTGGTGTACAGTGGCCATTAACTTGAGTTTATTGTACACTTTAACACAATTGTTTCTGGTAAGTGCCAGTCTTAAAATGTGTAGTGATCCTTCACACATTACTTTATCAATCTGTGCAATTTTATCTCGAAGCATCTTTACAGCCTGGGAAGTTTTCTTGAGGTAGTCCTGCAATTCGTGTTGAGAGGTCATTGCATGAAAAAATGCTTCAGAACGTAGAGAGATCTGGTGAGCAATGTTTACTTCCACAATATCCAGATAATGGCTCAGCTTAAGAAGGAAAAAAAAAAAATCATGGAGTATTACCTTCTTTGACTATCCAAATACTTTCTGAAAATGATACAGGATTTCTACATATATCTTAAATCCTATTGAATGAACTATTTGATTATGGGATTCTTGATATTGGGCATAATAAAATGGAAGGGAGATGAAACGTTAATAAACGTAAGACAAAAGAGTAGAAGAAGCCGATTTACCTTCTTCCTCTGCTCCTGCTATTACCGCCCTCCAAACACCAACTACTTTCTAGAAAGTAAGAGTACCCCACAATAATCTGAGATTATAATCTAGTTTTAGAAGTTCTAAAATCTGAGAGAGAATGATTTCCTTAATCCCCACACCAACACACATCACTCATCTGACTAAAAGTTTATTATAGTTACATTTATTGACCTCTTCCTTCTATATACCAGGCACTGGTATTTTATATACATAATTTTCTAGTTTTAACAATCTTAGAATTCAGGTATTAGTATTCTTATTTTACAGATGAGGAAACTGAGGCTCAGAGACATTAAATACTTTGAATAAAGTCATGTGGTTAGTAAGTGGCAAAACTAAAATTTGAACCTAAGTCTGTCTGACCCAAAAACTGAAGCTCTTTCTACTCTACCACTCTGTCTCAAAAGAATCTGTGAAAGACAGATTCAAGATCCGGTCACAAATTATAGAAAATACTAGAATTCATTGGGATGTTTTTTCAAGGCTGCTTACTTTACATTTCAAAAATTATTCTTTTATCAATTTGTAAAACTCAGTTTATTTCCAATATACTTTCCTCTTAAAAGGTTGACAAATGCCTTAAAAGAGTTCATACATACTTTATTTGTAACACAACCAAGATTAATTCCTAGAGCAACATATATTAAATATGCTTTCTAATTTCAAATATGGACTCCTAAAACTTGATTTGCCTTTTCTTCCTTTCTAATTGCATATGCATTTTTTGGGCTACATTATCTTTCCATTTCTCTCCCACTTTTTAAACTTTTAGATTCTTCAACCTATAGCTCAAACTTTAGGCATTATCTCTCAACATCTCTGAGTCCTTTCCCACTTTCCTCTGTGATTGAGTTCTAGTTTCAAAGCATTGTGGTCTGAAAATATGCAGGGAATGATCCCAATCTTTTGATACCAGTTGAGATCTGATTTGTGACCCAGGATGTGATCTATTGTGGAGAATGTTCCATGGGCACTAGAGAAGAATGTGCATTCTGTTGCTTTGGGATGTAATGTTCTGAATATATCTGTGAAGTCCATTTGGTCCAGTGTGTCATTTAAAGTCTTTATTTCCTTGTTGATCTTTTGCTTAGATGATATGTCCATTTCAGTGAGGGGGGTGTTAAAGTCCCCTACTATTATTATATTGTTGCCGAAGTGTTTCTTTGATTTTGTTATTGACTGGCTTATATAATTGGCTGCTCCCATGTTAGGGGCATAGATATTTACAATTGTTAGATCTTGTTGGATAGACCCTTTAAGTATGATACAGTGTCCTTCCTCATCTCTTATTATAGTCTTTTAAACCAAAAACTATAGTATTGTATTTTTAATACAATTTTTAATACAATACTGTATTTTTCAACTATTGTATTTTTGCTTCAAAATAATCATCCTTGCGATGTGGAAATAAGGAAAAATGGTACCTCAGCAAAAGTTGATTTTCCATGCTTCACTCATAAAGAATACAAAATTAGCCAATATATTGTTTGGGATAAATGTAAAGCAATTAATTGTGTTATCTAATACATCCTTTAAACTGAAATTCCATCAACTGCTATTTTAGATAAGAAGCACTCCAACAATTAGCTTTTCCTTTTTCACCAGCACAACTTGTTTTCCATTGAATCAAATGCTTTTACTTTATCAGTTAAGATTTGAAGGCAGTAACAATAAAAATGAAATTAAAATAGCCCTTACTAAATAACTAAATCAGAACCCACACAAAGGTACTACTTAACTAGAATATAGTTTTCTACATGGAAAGAGTAAAAAAGAAATTACCTTTTCTTGCAGCAACTTCGAGGAAGCTGCATCACGATTTCCTTTTCCACCAGCAGTATTAAAATGAGACCATGGTAAAACTGAATTAAAAGTTAAGGAATCGTCCAAGGCAAAATCTGGTTTCATAAAAATCTATTAAAAAATGTATTTTCCTCAATTAGATAAACATTTTTTTACATCCATTATCCCTTCAAACATCATAAGACCATTAAACAATGATTAACTTGGACCTGAAGCATAAACAGCAAAAGCAAGTGATGATACGTTGATTTACACAAAAATCTGTATAAAAAATGTATAAATAGTGTTTCATCAAGCTAAAAATACTCATGAAAGATAGAAAATTGTTTTTTGTCTTTACCAATGGAGGTGATCATTCCATTACTATGTAATCAAATTCACTAATGCAGTCCCACCAGGCACACACCAAAGGGAGATGGATATCTCTTATCCCCAAATTTCTATATTAGTTCCCACTGACAGTAGTTTTTAAAAAATGCCAAATATCAAATTCTCTGTATTTATATTTCTACTTTCTCCTGCTTAAAATGCTTTCAAAATTAGTTTTGTAGATAGACATATACTAAGTTTTAAAACCAAAACAAATTCAATTCTATGAAAAGATCACTCTTTCCTTTACATACCACATCCATCTGGGCACAAAGTCCTACCCATTGTATTTTCTAAATAAGACTTGAATGCTCTCTCTCCTCTACATCTATAGCATTTCGTCGGTGCAGCTCTTCATTATCTCTGGATTACAGTAAATGGCTATTTACTCATGTCCTTCCTCAATCTATTCCCTATACTGCTGTCAGATATACTTTTAAAATGCAAGTATAAATGAATTAACTTCTCTGTTTAAATCTCTCAATGGATTCCCATGACCTAAGGACCAAACTCTTTAGAATGGCAACAAAGGCCCTTCATTTTTTTTTAACTCCCTCACCAATTTGTATTTTGCCACTCCCACTATTTACAAGTTACATTCTAGCAATACTCAACTTCCATATCCTCTTGTGCTTAATTATCTTTGTACATGCTTTCGGCCTAAAATGCCTTTCCTGCTTATTTTCCTAGAGAATACCACCAAATCAAAAGGGCAAACATTATCTCTGTATGAACACTTACCCCATCTCTGAACACATCAATCGCCCCATCTCTGAATTTAAGTACATATGCCACATATATTTTTATGTATCTCATACTTCACAAAAATTATTTATTGAATATATGTATATATATGTTCCTTTAAGACTGGATTTATAGCTAATTAATCTTTGTATCTCCAGTACCTAGCATAAGGCCTGAAACATGGTTTAACTTAATTTCTATGCTATATTTTATTATATTTACTGATCCATTTTATCTATATCCAAAAATTAGTATAAAGTGATAGGGAAAAACTAACTAGGGACATGAGTGTATTTTCTAGTCCCTGCTTTAGTATAATTAAAAGTACTGATTAATTCAATGAATATTTACTGATGATGTAACCCTTATGCTAGGCACTAAGGGGGAAACAAAGATAAATTATTACATAGGTCCTAATCCCAAGGATCTTTAGTCCAATGGTTGTGATAAAATATATACATAAATATCTTAAAAGAAGAAGAGTGACAAATGCCTTAAAAAGAAGGCACAAATCAACATAAAATACTATGGAAATTCAGCAAGGGGCCAATTATCTTCAGTTGGAAAGAAATGTATTCATGTAAAGTTGCCATTTAAGCAAGAGAATGTAAAGAAAGAATTAGATATGGGGAGGTGAGGAAAAGTCTTCCAGGCTAAAGGAACAGTGCAAGTAAAGAACAGAGCCTGCAAAATAGTTTGGATGAAGTAAAGAATGTGTAAAAATTAGTAAGCAAAAGTTGAGTGTGACTATGATGGAAATGAATAATCAAGGGCCTTAAATGACAGTTTGAATTTTATTTTGTAGGAATCAACTACTTTAAAAATGACTGCCTTTTTGTTTCTGTCTGTTGTCTTTCTATGTCTTCTCACCTTAGAGAGCAGTTATCACAGACCTCTTTGAGAATCTAATTAATGCAATAGACTCTTTCCCCGGGGGGGAAGAAAACATCTATTACACATCTCTCTAAAATTTTTCATATAAAGGACATGTCTCTGAACAATTTGAAGGGGTAGTAACATCAATAAAATTCTTTCTCAGAATGGAGAGACTTAGGGCGCCTGGGTGGCTCAGTCGTTAAGCGTCTGCCTTCAGCTCAGGTCATGATCCCAGGGTCCTGGGATCGAGCCCCGCATCGGGCTCCCTGCTCAGCG